TTCTCTGCAACTAAGTGGAAACACTGGCATCAGAAATGTTGTTTGTGGTATGATACACTAATAATTATTTTAATATAAATAATACTATGTGACAGAGATATTCAATTTTATTATTTAGAATGCCTTAGATGTTTTTCTACGTTCAACATTCAAAAGCTTTTTCCTTGCACTATAACACACTAAACTTCATTTTATGTGTAAATAAGAACCTAATCACATTTTTAAAATCACACAAGGTATACACATGATTAGAAAACAAAAACCTAAAAACCTCATTCACAAGTCTGTAATCATGGTCACAAGAGACTTCACCTTCTTTCTATTTTTTTTTTTTTTTTTTTTTTTTTTGGAGACAGAGTCTCAATTTATTGCCCTCGGTAGAGGGCTGTGGCGTCACAACTCAGAGCAACCTCAAACTCTTGGGCTCAAGCAATTCTCCTGTCTCAGCCTCCAGAGTAACTGAGACTACAGGCGCCCCACAATGCCCAGCTATTTTTAGAGACGAGGTCTCTCTCTTGCTCAGTTTGGTCTCAAACCTGTGAGCTCGGGCAATCCACCCACCTCGGCCTCACAGGGTGCTAAGATTCCAGTCGTGAGCCACCGCACCTGGCCCAGACTTAGCCCTTTTAAGCCCCACAAAACACTGTCCTAGTTTCCTCCTAACGCACCAGCTGACATGTGCCGTCTCCTTCCTCAACCTCCTCTTCTCAGTTCTCTAGATGCTGACAAGCCCCAGACCTCGGCCTCATACTTCTTTGATAACTTAGACTCAACTCCTGCGTGATCCCAACAATTTTCATGGCTTTAGACACCATGTCTATTGGTATCACTTTCAAGATTCCTCAGCCTTGATCTTTCTCCCTTCTATCAGGGGAAATCTCTACTTCATTATCCTAACATCCATTATCCCACTGACCAAAGCTCAGCTCTTGATGACTATCCCCCGTTCCAATGTACTCTTTTCCCAGTCTTCACAGACCTCTGAAAATGAACTCTAATCATCAGCAAATCCCAAAGAGCCTCCACTTCCCATCACCTGCCCTGCTGCTACCCTGGCAAAGCCAGCAATGAGCATTAGCTCCTATTCACTGCACAGCTGCTAGACGGGTTGGTCCCCTCCAATCAATCCTTTGCTGGAAACCCTCCATCTCAGGCGGGCACCTGTAGTCCCAGCTACTCAGGAGGCTGAGGCCAATATTCACTGCACAGCTGCTAGACGGGTTGGTCCCCTCCAATCAATCCTTTGCTGGAAACCCTCCATCTCACCCATAACAGAATCCCAAATACCTTGCCATGACCCAGAAGTTACTGAACGTTGTTCCTTTGGGGATTCACTCCCTCCCACCACATACGCCAAAACAGAAGCAAATAATTTTTAGAGGCAGAATGCTTCTTTGAAACAAAGTC